TATCTGCGGCAAAATGCGGTTGATCATGATAAGCGACACTTGGGGAACCATCGACGGCCCAATAGTGTACCATTTCGACGTCGAGGGAAGGACCGACGCCAATGGATCCAGAAACGTCTCCGTCAAAGCGCTGACCTCAGGGAGCGAGCAGAAACGCGTTGGCCCCCCCTGCCGGCCCGAGAGCGGCCCCAAGGGGGCCCCAGAGGCGCTCTATCGCGCATGTCGTTCTCGTGGACAAAACACCCTGGGCCCTCCCGGGGCGGGCGCTCGAACTCCCCCGGGCACTCTTGCGCCCTGGAATGGCGGCATCTCAAGGCGGATCAGGGGGGCTCAAAAGGGGTCCAGATGACTCCAAGATGGCACCAAGACGGCTTCAAATCGACCACAGAGCTGTGGCGCGGCCATGATGCATCTCAAGGTTGGCGCGGCGTCCGCAAAATGCCCTTTCGGGGCCCCGTCGGGGTCGCTCCCGAGCTGGCAGGCAGGGGCCAGAACGGTTTCCCCAGACGCTCGGCCCGTCGACAATTTTGTCGCATGCATCCGAGGGGCCGCTGCAGCAGTTGTTGCACACGTGCGAGACCCTGTCGGACCTGATGTCGCCCGTGAGCAAGCTCTGGAGAACCTCGCACCTGCGCCGCACGAGGTCCTCGCCCCTCGCAGGGCCCAGCTGCCAATCGCGCCCTCGCGTGCGCAAGGGGCGGCATACGCACAGAGACAGGACGGCGGACGTGTGGCTGAGGTCGGACTGCGAGGGCTCGCCGATCATGTACCCGCCGGTGTGAAGATCCGAGGACACCTTCTCCCGTAGCTTCCTCATGAAAGCGCTGAGCCGAGGCTGGTAGCGGAAGGTGAAGGCCACGTTGTACAGGGACGGCACCAGCTGGGTGTGCTTGAATGTGAGGTACACAGATCTGTTGAGAATGTGACTGTAACACAGCTGCGTAACAATAAGGAGCCATCCCTGCCACCTGGTCGGGTCGTCTGCGTCGCGGTCGGCTCCTTCATTGAAGGCCGCCGCAGCCTGCATGCAGTACGTCATCAGACGTATGTTGGGCATGGCCCCATCACTTCCCAACACGTACATGATGACATCGACTGATTGCAGCAGGCCGCTGGCCGTGTGGAAGTTGAAAGGTGATCTACTGAAAGCCCGATAAGTGCAACCTGTCCCACTCGAAGTCATAAACATGGGTGGGACAATCACTTCCTCCGCTCGCGAAACCTTGACGGGGGCCATCGGCGGTGCTACATCGATCCCGTGAACGACGGGGTCCTCCTCCCACGAGAGCTCCACGGTCTGCGCCAGTAGCTCAAGAATTCCACTCTTGCACTTGAAACCCATGGCACGGGCGGTCCGATAATCGAGCATCTCCGCCGCCCCTCCGATGGGGCCGCCGGGCGCGCCGGCGGGGCCGAAGGAGGGGGGCCTTCCCGCCCGCCCACGTCCGAGGGCAAACTTTCGGGGGCGCACGACCAACGACCAACGGACGGGCGATGGTGACAATGGCGTAGATGACGATGATGACGACGATGATGATTGCGATAACGATGACGATGATAGCCACTATGATGATGAAGAAGATGATGATAATGATGATGGTGATGCTGATGATGATGAAGGTGACGGTGGTGATGATGATGGCGATGGTGATGCCGATGCTGATGGCGACGAATCCGTCGACGGCGGAATGCAGCGGAAGCTTTCGGATCGGGCTTGCTGCCAGGCTCCCTCACGCAATATTTAGCGGAGTCGCACAGCAGCTCGCGCCATCGACCAAACTCCACCTCTAGAGGGGTGGCGTCCCAGCGATGAGTCACCGTCAGATCCGCCACCGTGCCATTGGGCGCGGAGTGGGCGCGCCCTCAAGTCCTTTGCCCAATCTCCCAATCCCCAGTCCTCAGCCCCGAGGGGTCTTCCAGGTTGACGGGGCTCGGACCCGAAAATCTCAAATCTCTCGGGCCCCCCGGCGTGGCCCCCAGGGTCTGGCACATCTCCCCGCGCGACTGTTCGGGCCCAGTGGGGGCCCAGGGAAAGGCCGAGGGGGCCTCGCGAAGACCCTGGGGCCGTCCAAGAGGGCCCCGAGTCGCCGAACGATCGCTCCAGCGCCCCAAGACGACCGCAATATGGCCCAGGAGTCTCCGAGACGCCCGACTCCCAGAGGCCCCCAGGGGAGGCCCAAGAAGCAAACGTCACTCACGTTCCTAAGGCATTGTTTTAGGGTTTGGGCGATCTCGCCCTGTCGCTGCTCCCCGGCGCTGCAAGACGACCCCGGAGGCCCCTTTCGCCGCGCCCAAGCGGCCACAGGGCCGCCGCGAGGGCCCCGAGACGGCCCGGCAGCGCCCCGAGACCCAGGGCGGGCCAAGAGGCGCCCGCCAAGACGGCCCAGAGAGGGCCCCATAACGGCCCCAAAATGATCTCGAGAGAGGGAACGTGAAACGAAAATCCGACCCCTCCGCCCGACGAGGCCCCAGGCGGCCCCAGGCGGCCCCCAAGAGGACCTAAGCGCCACCCAGTAGGGCCAACCAAAACCATGGAGGCCCCGGGGGACCTCCAAACTGCCCCCAAGAGACGCCCGAAAAGGCCGCCCAACAAGATCCCAACGAACATCCCGCGGACTTCGCGCCCTCAACCAGGCGCGGCGGCGGGGTGGGCCGAAGGCCATTAGATATCGGAGCTTCGGCCCTGCCCGAACCCTATCGCAGAACGCCTTGACATGCACGTTCTGGCCGAACAGCGCCGCGTGGGCCGCGGCCCCCAGCATGGACAATTGACTTCCACTCGGCCTGGAATGATGAGTCGCAGTCGCACCCAGCATCTCCAAGGAACTCTTCACGACGAAGTCGTGCGACCATGCACTCCGATTCTTGCCCTGGCGGCGCAGGCGGGGGGACTGCTCATCTCCCCCCCTCCATCCCCCCCCCCTCATCCTCGTCCTCCCTACTTCCCTCCCTCCTTCCTTCCTCCCGGCCTCCTCCCACCCTCCCTCCCTCCTGCCTCTCTGGCCCGCGCTGCCACGCCCTGCCCCCCCTCTATCGTCCTCGTTCCCCCCCATTCCCCCCCCTCCCCCCTCCTTCTCGCCCCCGCGGCTGCCTGCAGTGAGTCGGCGACCCGGTCGCCCACGTGCAATCTCGTCGCGGAGAAGGCGTCGGCCGTCGCCGCGAACTCCTGGGGCGATCTGAACTCTCGCTTCGCTGCTCGCTGCACAGCCAGTCGATCGTTGAACGCGAGCGCAGACACCACCTCCTGCCACGTGCGCTTGCGGTGACCTGGCCCGGGCGCCACGGCAGCTGGCGCGCTGAGGTCGGGCAGCGCGCTCATGGCGTCGCCGTCGTCGGACTCCACATGCAAACCGTCGGCGTCGAGCTCAGAGTCAGGGCTCATGCCGCCGCAGTCTGGCGAGCCCTCGAGCGCGGCGCCACCCGCGTCGGAACCGAGGCTGAGTCCGCCCAAAGAGATGCGGTCATCGTCTGAATCTAAGATCAGATCGTCGGGGACGGGGCCCGCCATCCTCGGAGAGCTCGAGGCCGACCCCGCCCGAAGGGGGGGGGCACGGAACGGCGGGGCCCACCATCCTCAGAAAGCTCGAGCCCGCCCCCGCCCGAATGGGGGGGGGGAGCGGCGGCGGGGGCAGAGGAGGAGGAGGAGGAGCCTGAGAGGGATAAGAGGATCGAGGAAGGACGGGGCAAACAGCGAACCTCGGGTGGAAATCCGATCGGCGTCACCACGGCAGGTCTGTGATCTGCCGACTTCGGCGCTGGTTTCTGACGTTGCGGGGGTCGGTCGACCTTGAACGAACGGCCGATTCGGAAATTTACAATAGCGTCGTCTGTTGGCCGCCAGCGGCGATCAACGTTGAACGCTGGCGGTGCCGGTCGGCGCGATGCAACTATAGTAGTTGAAGGCTTCACGTAACTGACGTATCTAAAGATATTGAAGGATAAACAATAATTGCAACCGTGATCATTCAATAAGTAGTAATGCTCTGCGTATGTATACATATTGAATATGCATATATATACATATATATGTGAATCGTTGAAGAGACATTTAACTGAATTTATACACATATAACATATAACTAAACACAGTGTAGAAACTATAAATGGCTAGCGCCATTAATATAGTCGGAGCTATTAATCCGTCATATAGTATGTTCTATGTATAGAGTGATGCATGCAAGAATTGCTGTATTGTTATTTAAATTGTTTTCGTAGGGTATATGGTTAGTCGAATTATTGTCTTTGCATTGCTCTATGAGTATGATTGCTTGAAATGTTAGCTTAGGATTGTTTAGATTGTTTTTCTTGATACTTGCGTTGTTTGTTGCTGCTCCGCCCCATGAAGCTTCGCGGCCTGGCAGGCCAAAACCTGGCGGGCGCAAGCCTGGAAAATGACGGCCGCGGCGCCCTCCCGAGAACCGAAAACGGACAATTCACCAATCGACGTGTTAGGGTGGGGGTTCTGTCCACCCCCGAGCTGGCCGTGCTCAAATGTGGCTGTCAAGGGATCCCTGGCTCCTCGCGGAGAGAGCCGGCAAGGGGCCGGCGCCAGGCTGCAGTATGCGACCTGACCGGATGCCGGACGACAGTGGTAGGGGGCCACATGCGAACCCTACCCCTACCCCCCACGATTTCTGAGGGGATAGGGGGACAAAAAGTGACATAAACATAAAAACTCGGAGGTCCGCGTGGATTTCTCGGATCGGCGCTGGGACCCCCCTCCCTGGCGCGCGGAGCGCGCCAGGGGCGGCGCTGGAGGCGCCGCCGGGGGTCCCAGCGCCGATCCGAGAAATCCGCGCGGACCTCCGAGTTGTTATGCTTATGCCACTTTTTGTTCCCCTAACCCCGACCCCCCACGATTTCTGAGGGGAGGGTGGGGCTCACTTCCTTCGGGAGCTCTCGCCAGGTCCTTCCAGAGATCTGCGCCGGGCCTCTCCGCGCCCTTTTCGGGTTCCTCGCTATCCGGGCGCCGAATTTTTGCTGGCCCGCGTCCAGCGGGCCTCCGAACACTCCCAGCTGCCACTCCTCTACCCGCGTCGTGTTGTTCAGGTACGTGCGGTTGCCCTGCAGCTGCGAGTCGCCATACAGCCACCACGTGGGCCTGTCCGGCCCCATCTGTGCGAGCTCCTCCTGCGGGCTGCGGCAGGGATTAGGTCGGGCCTGTCCCCGTACAGGGGGACTTTCGAAGAAAAATAAAAAATACCCCAAGAATACCCCAAAAAGGTTAAAAAACATTAGAAAATACTCAAAAATAGTCCCCAGACTATGTTTGGACTATTTTTTGACTCTTTCGTCGAAAATCCCCCTGTAGGGGGACACGCCCCACTTAAGGCAAGGAGTGGGCGAGGCACGGCCGAGCACGCTGCAGCGCCGACCTCTGCACGGCGCGCCTGCATCGCCCCGCGCCTGGGGGGTGCTGCCGACGCGTCGCCGCCTGAGGGTAATGCGGCGAGGGCTGCTCAGGCGCACGAGGCATGCGAGCGAGTAGGGGGCCACATGTGAACCCTACCCCATACCCCCCACGATTTTTGAGGGGAGAGTCGGGTTCACTTCGCTCGGGAGCTCCCGAACGAAGTGAACCCCACCCTCCCCCTCGGAAATCGTGGGGGGTAGGGGTAGGGTTCACATGTGGCCCCCTAGCAAGCACTACAGACGATGGTGAAGATGCGGGAGGACACTGGGGATGGCACGTGCAAGATATTCGATGCGCCCCGTCACCCCTCAGCTCCTCGGTCGGCTGGTTGTGGCGGTTGATGAACTTCTGGTTGTTCACCGACGCCCCAGATATGATCGGGTTCTTGATGCCGTGGGTTCTCAGGAAGTGGTCGGTTCGCTGTGGTCGCAAGGCCAGGTTCGATGCGTAGGCGCTGGTCAAGACGGATGCCAGAAGGGCCTCGTAGTCCTCTCGGGTCTGGCGGGAGTGGAAGGCTTCAAGCGCAGCGTCTCTCTGTCTCTCGACGCCTAAACGCTACGGCCCTGGATAGAAGATGGAAACATGGCATGAAAGGAAGCTCGCCAGCTCGTCGGGCCAACGGCGTGCTAGATGCTGGACGTGGGCAAAACATTCGGTAGTGTGGTTGAGTTGTTCTTCTTCCCAGTCCGCGAGCGCGAGGGCGCTTCCAAGAGGGTCTCTGGAACTCACTGGGCCCCGAGATGTCTCCAAGATGTTGCCAAGATGGCTGGCCCGTACCCCAGATGGTCGAAGAACCTCTCATTGGAGTCTCCCACGGAGGCCCTATCAGTCTATGAAAAACCATGCTGTGTTACTGGTTTGGGTTGTCTCGCCTCTGAGGGCTCCAGCGGGCTTCTGGGGCGCCGAAGTGGCCCTCGAGGGGCCAGTGGGGCCTCAAGATGGCTCAGACATCTCCGAGGAGAGCCTTCCGAGGGATCCAAGAGAGCCCTAAGCGAGGCCAGCGGTCCTAGTGGATGGCTCAGACATCCCCGAAGCGAGCCTTCCGAGGGCTCCAAGAGAGCCCTAAGAGAACCCAGCGAGCTATAGAGGACGGCTCAGACATGCCCGAAGAGAGCCTTCCGAAGGCTCCAAGAGAGCCCGAAGGGAACCCAGCGATCCTATGGAGGACGGCCGAAGAGAGCCTTCCGAAGGCTCCAAGAGGAGCCCCGAGAGAGCCCCGCGGCCCCGGAACGCGGGACGATGGGCACCTGGCCTCGAGACCGCCCGCGCAGGATCCCAAGATGCCCCGAGGTGGCGCGGTGCTGGCCTCCAGCGGGCCCAGACCGGGCCAAGGCAGCCCGATGGACGGCAGGGACACCGCAAACCGGTCGAACAGGGCTGAACCCAAACGGTGGTCTTCGTTTTCGTTTTGTTCTCGTTGTCCCTCGTTTTGTCTTCACTCCGCCTTTAACGCAGCACGAAATCGAAACGAACACGGCCCACGAACTCGCCAAAACACCGTTTAGGTCCACCCCTGCGGTCGAAGAGGCGTCCTCGGAGGCCCTCGGGAATGCCCCAGCGGAGGAGGGGGGGGAGGAGGAGACGGAAGAGGAAGGGGGGAGCGAGCCAGGAGCGAGCAGGAGGGGCAGGAGGGGCAGGAGCGTGCAGGAGGAGGAGGAGGAGGAGGAGGAGGAGGAGGAGGAGGAGGAGGAGGAGGAGGAGGAGGAGGAGGAGGAGGAGGAGAGGAGGAGAGGAGGAGGAGGAGGGGAGGAGGGAGAGGAGGAGGAGGAGGAGGAGGAGGAGGAGGAGGAGGAGGAGGAGGAGGAGGAGGAGCAGGAGGAAGAGGAGGGGGAGGAGGAGGAGGGGGGAGGAGGAGGAGGAGGAGGAGGAGGGGGAGGAGGAGGAGGGGAGGAGGAGGAGGAGGAGGAGGAGGAGGAGGAGGAGGAGGAGGAGAGGCACTGAGAAACATGCCTATCGGCTGTAGCCTCATCCACAGCGGGCTGCAGTGGACCTCTCGGGCCCCCCCCCCCCTCCTCAAGGGAGCGAAGGAAAGCCCCCAGAGGCCCCATGAGGCTGCCGAAGAGCGCGGGTCAGTGGATGTCAAGTCGCAATGTGACCCCAAGGTTTCTCCGAGCCCAGACCCCCTCGCGATGTGAAAAAAACACGACGCGAGGTTTTTCACTCTTGACGGCCTCTGGGGGCCCTTGCTGGCCCTCGGGACCGTCAAAAAACGGCTCGGGATGAAAATCTGGTCCCGGGGAAGGGGTCCAGACCTACAGGGGTCGACGTTATAGATGTATATATGTATATGATGACGTCGGGGGTCTGGGAGAGGCCCAAGCTGGCCCAAGACAGCCTAACGAAATGGAATATGGTTCAAGATGGCCGAGCCAGCCTCAGAAGAAACAGCATCTGCAGCAATCGGCGGCGAGCGGGGGGGGTAAATGAAAAGGAGAAGACCTTCTCAGACGGCGTCAGAGGACCTCTCAGAGGCCCTCGCACCTTCTGAGAGGTTTTTGTTCCTGCCTTCGGGGAAGGCACTCGAAAACTTCTCAGAAGGCTGGAGGACATCTGAACCTTCTGAGAAGCCCTTCTCCTTCTCACTTCCCCCCCTCGCTCGCCGCCGAATAAGCATAGACTGTCGAAGGTCCGCGCGGATTTTTTGGATCGGCGCTGGACCCCTCCAAGGCGCGCGGACCGAGCCGTAAACAGAAATCCCAACGCTAACCCAAAAAATCCGCGCGAACCCCCGAAAACGGAAAGCCATCATGCTGCAGTAGGGAAACCTGACCAAGGAATGCAGGGTTGTGTTTCTGGCCACGGCGAGCCTACAGGGCAGTTGTTCATACATGGGATGCTTAAAGTATAGGATGTTTCACACATGATTAATTCATGAATAAATTTATGCATGAACCCATCGCTGTTTTTAATACTAAATCCCTGCATGTTTAATACATGATCCGCACGCGGAGCGTGTATCAAAAACGGCACTGTAGGGCCTAGGCCACTGCCAGGCTCCCCGACCCAGACCTGAGGAACGACCGACAGAGGCCTAGGCCCACTGCCAGGCTCCCCGACCGAGACCTGTAGGGCCTAGGCCACTGCCAGGCTCCTCGACCCAGGCCCAGAACAGAGCCCCTCCTGAGCCGAGAGCGGCCCGTCTTCCAGCGCACTGGCTGTAGGTGTCCAGGTCACCCACAGTGAAGGCCCGACCACAGGAAGCCTTCCACGAGAGACCAAACGCTGAGACTCCAGGAGGCCCATTGATTCTTGGTGTGGGAAATTCACGCTTGAGGGGCAACGGTGTGTGGGGACTGGCATAGGGGGGGACACTTCAACCTGCAATCGGCGATACATCGCCGATAGTGTGGCGATACGCCCCGGATAGTGAATCCGCGCGTTCCTGGGCCCCTATCGGCGATCATTGGGCGATTAGGGGTCAATGCATCACCACCTATGCCTATCCCCCCCTGTCGCTGCCCCTGAACGCCTTCCATCGCAAAACCATCGAAACCGGAGAAACCTGGGGCGACCTGCAGGCAAGCAGGGTGTTTCTTGACATGGGTCTCCACTGCACGGTCGCTGCGTGCCGCGCCAGCGCGCGCACGGGCTCTGGACACCGCCGCGATCGATCAGCCTCGCGTCGATCGCGGCCCCGGTCGTCCGAGGCCGAAGTCCGCCGGGCCCGGCGGCGTCGCCGCGTCCCTCGGTGCCCCCGCGTCGCGGGACCCAACCACTGAGCTGGGAAGCCCAAAAGGTAGCGCAGAAAGTACCGATACCGCTACTCCCCGGACCTCCCTGGGGGCGCACTCTGACTAGGATGTCGAGGCGAATGCAGTGGTGGCGACGAGGGCCTCCCGCAGGAGGCCCAAATTGAGGAGGAAGACGGGCGAAGGGTTAGCGGTACGGGTACCTGCTCCTCGGGGGGAGCGCGCTTCACGGGCGCTTGCCTTCGGAACACTCGGCAGCGCGTCTGGACCGGGGAGGTCGGGAGACTCTCCATGGGGGGGGATCCCATGGGGGGGCAGGAGGGGATCCCCCCCATGGGATCCCCTCCTGCTCCCCCATGGGATCCCCAGGGGATCCTATGGGATCCTATCCCCCCATGGAATCCCCCCCCTTGGGATCCTATCCCCAGGGGATCCTATGGGATCCCCCCCCTGGGATCCTATCCCCCCATGGGATCCCCCCACTTGGGATCCTATCCCCAGGGGATCCTAGGGGATCCCCCCCCCTGGGATCCTATCCCCCCATGGGACCCCCCCCATGAAGAGTCTCCCGAGGAGGGAGCCCCCCCCCTGAACCAGGGCGGGGGAGCCCCCCTTCCTCCAGGCGCCCACGGCAGGCGCTCTGCCTGTCCTCCCCCCCGAGCAGCGCCTTTCGCTGGCGCCGCCCAGCGCGCCAAACGCCGCACGAGCCTGCCGCCACTCTCCGCGCCCTCGCTGCTCCGCGTTCGCGCGGGGGCGCGGCCCGCTCTCGTTCTCTCGCTCCGCGCCCCCCGGGGGCGCTCGGGCCCCCGCGGGGCCCAGGCCGGCGCAGCGCGAGGCGCGAGGCTCCCCGCGCCCCCCGCGGGTGACCGTTGGGTCTGCTTGCGGCCCTCTGGGTCTGTGTTGGGGCCCCCCTCGGGGTCCTTTTCGGGGGCTCTTTGCGGGAGAGTTTGGGCCCTCTCGGGTCTTGAGGCCCCGTTGTGGCCCTCTGTTTGGGAGCTCTTGGGAACTCAGGAGGGCCTTCTGGGGCCATCTTGGAGACCAGCGATGAAAAGGGGGCGTCCTTCATCTTGGTCCCCCGCCGCGGCCCTCCTTGGCGGCGCGCACAAGGAGGCAATTAGAACAAGCGATTTTAAAACAAAATCTCGGGTGGACGATTCAAAGAACGAGTTTCGCTGGCCTGGTTGCCCCCACACTAGGGGAGGGGGGGAGCAGGCCGACGGAGGATTTATCAATCTGCCCAGCGCAATTATTTTGAGGCCGCCAGGGGGAGGGGGGGGGCATTCTTTCGATCTCTTGCTCCCCTGAGGGGGAGGGCGCAAGGCGTCTCAGGAGGCTGCTTCCCAGAGGGTTCCGGCCTCGCACCGATAGATGGTGCCCGCGCCTTCTGAGAAGCAGCCTCGTCCTAAGAATGAGAAGAAGCCTTCCCGCCTCGCCCTACCCGTAGGTCGGGCATATCCTCCTACAGGCGGGTTTCGGAAGAAGAATGAGAAATAGTCCAACAAGATTCACAACAACCGAACAAATCTAAACATCGTCTTCAGACTACTTGTTGACCAATGTTGGGCACTCCTGCTGTAGAGGGACAGACCCGACTAAACCCTGCCCCCCGGCCGACCTCCTGGAAGCCTGCCGCAGAAGGGGGCCGCTCGAGCGAAAGAGCCGGCCTCCGTGGGGCATGCCGTGGCGTGGGCGGCTTCGGCAAACCCAACGATCCGGCGCTCCAACAAAGTTGGAGCGCCGGGATCTTGACATTTTGTTGTAATAGAAAGAGAAAGCACGCAACAGAAATCATGCTTACGGCATTTCTTCTTCTTCTTCGACAGGGGGCCCTCGAAGGGCCTCGGGAGCGTCCAAGACCGGCTCAAGGCGAAGAACCAGTCCCGGGGAAGCGGTCCAGACCTCTGGGGCCAACGCATCGAAACAAATTCAGCAGCCCGGTGTCTGGGAGCTCTTCTCGTAGCGACGTCGGCGTCGACGTCTGATACCGCGCGGACAGTCCGAGAGATCCGACGTCGTGATGTGTTCAATACAGTGAGGGTCTTGACCTAAGGAACCCTAAATAAGGAACGAGGCCCTTTTCTCCATAAGTTAAACTTCGATTTCGTATCGAAAACAAAAGGAAGACCTGAGGCAAACTGTGAAACACTTAAGGAACACGGAGCCCCTCCCCAACGAAAAGGGTTCCTTCTTCAGGGCCCCGACTGTACGCGGTCTCCAGAAATCTCGACCCATTCCCCAGGACCAGTTCTTCATCCTGAGCCGTTTTTTGACGGTCCCGGGGCCCGGCGAGGGCCCCTGGAGGCCGAAAACTGTGGATCTCTGGGGTTGAGCCTCTAACGATCGGCGGCTTTTCGATCGCCCGACCATTCCATCTTGGCCAGATTCGGGACCACCAGCGGCGTTAAACCTTCAACGCCCGCGCACGACACGAACCTGGCGTGTGCAGATTTTAATCCTTCGAGCTGGGGCCCCAGCCAGCGAATCTAATAGCATCGAATCGGACGGATCCCATACACGCGACTCCTTGATTAAGGCAGTACGGGATCCCGGGCCTTAAGCCAGGGCCCGCTTCCTTTCCCAAGGCCCGCTTTTCATAAGCTGGAGCCCGCCGAAGGTCCCCACAGGCCAAAACCGGCCACAAACCTTCTGCCGTGATTCTTTCATGACGCGAAAAACATGCCTGGAACGAAACCTCCCAGAACCGACGCAAACGTCCGACAGATAATCCCAACCCGAGCCCCAGACCTTGCGGCAAGGCTATATTTCCACCGTTTCCCAAAAAAGTGGCTCTTGAAAATCAAAGCACTACACAAACAGCAACCAAAAACGGCACAAAAACGGCTCTGGAGTTGGCATCACAACCAGAGCCAACAAAAAACACACACCGACGGAACCGGGAAAAAACAGCGCCGGAATCGGCAACAGAAGCGGCAGAGCGGAACCAGCAACGAAAACGGCCCTGTCGCTTCTGTGGCCCACTTTATACCCCCAAGACCCTACAGTCAACCCGTATCATAAGGACGCGCGGTAAGGATGCAAGGGCCTCGGAGCGCCAAGTTGACGTTTTTCGAACGAGGTTGGCCAGTGAAGCTCGCCAAGGACGGGCCGAAGGGGCAAGGTTGCAAGCCGAGAGGTCCGACGTCGTGATTTGTTCAGTGCGCGGTCTCCGGAAGTCTCGACCAATTCTCCAGGACCAGTTCTTCATCCTGAGCCGTTTTTTGACGGTCCCGGGGCCCGGCGAGGGCCCCTGGAGGCCGAAAACTGTGAAAAAACCTCTGTTTGGATCTTTTCAATACGTTGCATCGCTGTACCCTTGGGAAGGTCGCCCATCCTTCTGGTGCGTGTTGACTGCATCTTGCCGTGGCACTGCTCGATCCCCGGTGGGGCCCGGCACTGGGCCGCAAGAGAACGCCCGCCGCGAGGAGGCTGCCAAGCCAGCGTGGTGAGCGGCCCTGCGCCCAAACCAGACCCCCGACGTCATGGCATGTTCATAGCGTCTCGGGAGCGGCCAAGAGGGGGGTGTCCAAGGGGGGGTGCAAATCATGACCGGCGGCATATGCGCGGCCCAGCGGGGAGGCCAGGACGTAATGAAATAAGGAGAGGCGCCATGAGATCTGGGAAATACCATGTGGCCCCCGCCATGATATCCAACCCCCCCTAGTCATCACCCCCCTCTTTGCCGCCCCCGAACGTCGGCCCCCAGCGGTCTCGACCCGTTCCCTGGGACCGGGTTTTGCGACCCGATTAGATTTGTGACGGTCCCGAGGCCTGGCGAGGGCCCCCGGATGCCGAAGATGGCGAGCTCTGTAAGAGGCATAAGAGTAATCCAAACAGAATCCAGAAGTCATCAACCATAGTCGACACATCGTCCCCCGACTGCTTCTCTACTATTTTGCACACTCCTCTCTTAGAGGGTCAGGACCGACTGAACCCTGCGCCCCCGGTCCTCCCACGGGGTGCCCGCGTCGAGGCCCTCCGCCGTCGGCTCCGCGGCGTCGTCCTCCAAGCTAAGCCGGGGGGGGGGGCGGTGGGCCGCGCCGCGGGCGAGCCGCTCGCCCCGGCCTCGACAAGCGCGTTCGACTGCTCGGAAAGTAGCTGCTCGCAAGTGGCCTGGATCCGCCGCGGGGGATCAACGATTCACTGCTGGAGCGTTTTCTGAGGGGGGAGGGCTCAGGGTGCAATCCATAATTATGAGATGGGCTTTTGCACCACGCGAATCCATCCGTCTCGTGATTCACCCTTTTTGCAGACTCGAGCCTCGAACAGCCATCGAAACGGCATCTCAGACTTCACCCGTTGCCCTCCACCCAAAGAATATGCTCGGACTGCACCGAGGCAGACGTTTGTCTTGACACGCTCGCGAGTACAGTCGGCCTTGATTGGACAGAACTCGCGAGAGGACAGAAGACCCTTCTGGGGGCCACGTCGCCACAGAGATGCAGGAGGCCTGGGTCGCAACACACAGGACACGAGGGTACAGGGCAGTTTTTAATACATCGGATTTAAAAAATATTGGACTTTTGATGCACGATTAACTTATGATTAAATTTATGGATGAACTCATCGTTGTTTTTAATACTACATCCCTGCATGTTTGATACATGATCCGCACGCGGAGCATGTATTAAAAACGGCACTGTACCCTTGACCTGGCAGGCTCGACCTACCAATCCGGGCCGCCTGGAGGCACTCTGCGAGAAGTGGACCGCGCCCGGTGACCGCCGCCCCCCTCGGCGTTGGGGCGCGCCCCAGGCCCGCCCGGGGGCGAGAGGCCAGGTGCCGGCGCGGAGGCAGGATCAGCCAGCCTCGAGTGCTTGCCGTCGCTCGGGCGTCCATTTCCCGTGCATTGTTCGGTGTCGTGCGTGTTTTTTTTTGCTCGAGGGTCCAGGATGGTCCTCGACGGTTCTCGCCGAGAAGAAATGCACACGTCCGAGCGATGCCCACGAGTGGGTAAGTCGGATCGGCCCCAGACCCCCTCGGGACATGAGAAAATCACGACGGCAGGCTTCTCGCTGCTCTCGGCCTCTGGAGCCCCCATCCGGGCCTCGGGACCATCAAAGAACGGCTCAGGACGAAAGACTGGTCCCGGGGAATGAGTCGAGACCTCCAGGGGTCGACGGTACGCAAATATCATGACGTCGGGGGTCTGGGAATCGAAGTATCCCTCGGATCGAAGTCGGCACGGAGCCGAGATCGAATCGGATCGGCTGCGCCAGGATGCGCAACAACGCCATGCAAACATCAGGCCGCATCGAGCGTCGAACTGTCGGAATCGAATTGGCTCGAGCCAGCCAGAATCGATATCGAATCGGATCGATCGGATCCAAATGGACCCGGCAAAGATCCCCCCTGGCCGTCCTGGCCGTCGTCGGGCTCCCGGTCCAGCTGCGCCTGCCGCGGGGGCCAGCCCACTTACTTCACGGTGGGTGTGTCTCCCAATCCCCGACCTTTGGTGGGTTGCCGAATGGACTGGCAATTCGGAGCCCAACTCTGGGATGCAAACATGATGGGAGGGGAGCCCATCCTGGATGGGCGTGCGTCCGATTCGCTCCCCGGGGATGTGTCCCCGAGACCCCCCTTTTGTTTCTGAGCGGCCATTCTGTTGGGAGGAGCCGAGGGGGACCGGGGGTGAGAGAAACCTCCCGCGACTCCTGGCCACCGCGCCCCGTCCCTCTCCGTGGCTGGATCCGCCGGCACCGCACCAGGGGAGCGAATCGGATCAGGGAGCGGGCGGGGACAAGGCGTGCGGGGATGAGGAGGATATCGAAGAGGCAGAGGAGGATATCGAGGACAAGGAGCGAGAGGATATCGAGGAGGAGGAGGAGGAGGAGGATATCGAGGAGGAGGAGGAGGAGGATATCGAGGAGGAGGAGGAGGAGGAGTATATCGAGGAGGAGGAGGAGGATATCTAGGAGGAGGAGCAGGAGGAGGAGGAGGAGGAGGATATCGAGGAGGAGGATATCGAGGAGGAGGAGGAGGAGGAGGAGGAGGAGGAGGGGGGGGGAGGGCAAGCTGGGCGCGCTCGCGCCACACAGGCCTCACGTCCTGGGCGCGCCGCGCCACACGAGTTCTCCCTCCCCATCTCGGGTAGTCCTCCACACAGGGCAGTTTTTAATACATTGGATTTGTTCTTAAACATAGGAGTTTAAAATACATGATCAACTGAATCATCAATGTCTGCATGAGCCCATCGCTGCTTTTGATACTAACTCCCTGCATGTTTGATGCATGCTCCGCACGCGGAGCATGTGATTATCAAAAACGGCACCGTGTGTCCGCCGACGGGGGGTCCGAAAAAAAAACACGATCATGGAACGACCCCATCGTGTGATGGACCAGCCGCCTCGAACGCATCCCCATCCCGGAGATCGGCGAGCAAAAAAGCGAGGACGATCTCGGGGATGTGCCCTCAGAAGCTGAGGGAATCCTTACATCGAGGTGAGGCGATGCCAAACACAGGGACAGGGGCATGTTTCAAGCTGGTGAGTGATGCGCAATCAGAGAGGGGAGAGGCGTACAGTGGAAAGGGACAGGGAGCAGGAGGCGGCGGATCCGCAGTAACTGGCGCGAGCCAGTCCTCAGCATCTGGCGATCAACTATCAGTGGCGTGCAGGGCTGCTGCGAGTGTGGCGCGCTGCTGTGTTGGCTTCAGCTGGTCCCCATGGGTCACCGCAGTTCTAGCCGAGTGACAAGTATGGAAAAGCGAGCACAGTCTGACGCATAGCAGCAGCACTCGTGGAAAAGGCAACTCGCACATTCGTATCCGCTATCAGCCGCTAGGCCGAGGATCAGGGATTGGAGGGAAGACGGAAGAACTCACAGAGGACACGACAGGCGAGGTAGTGGGAAATGGAATCTGGCATTTGGCATCCGAAAAAAAAGCGGTGACGCAAACATGCATACGATGGCTGGTTGTCCATCGGGCCAGGCGGAAGGGGGGGAATAGCAAAGGGGAGGGGGGGAGAATCAGCTCACGCAGCTGCTTTTCCCGGCGCCTCCCGACGCCGAAGGCGGCCATGTATCAAAGAATGGGCCCCTCGGTGGGGCTGAAACCAGCTGCATGCAGCAAATTTCGTAACCCCCCTTTCCCAATCCCCCCCTTCCGTCCGGCCCCATCCTCCTTCTAGTCCTCCTCCTCCTTTTCCTTCTCCTCCTCCTCCTCCTCCTCGTCCTCCTCCTCCTCCTCCTCCTCCTTCCCCTCCTCCTCCTCCTGCATGCAGCAGACTTCGTAGCCCCCCCTTTCCCTATCCCCCCCTTCCCTTTGGCCCGAGTCCAGCCGCTCGCGAGTGTCTTGAGTACGGCCCACTGCCAGGCAGGCCTGAACTCCTCGATTCGAGCCCGCATGCCCCAAACCGCTCGCCCACCCGCCCGACGATGCTGTACGGCAGCCCCGAGGCCAGGAGACGTTTGAAAGCCGTGGTGCCAAAAAGAAATCCCACCACCCCTAAGGGGCGAAGGTTCAAGTCGGGCGTGTCCCCCTACAGGGGGATTTTCGACGGCAAATAAAAGATACTCAAAACATATCCCTAAATGCTCAAAAATAGTCAACAAACTGGTCCACTGATTATTGTTTAACTATTTTAATTATTCCTCCTGTAGAGGGACAGGCCCGACTAAGCGCAGGTGGTCTAGCGCGTCTCCTCTTTTACCCCTCTCTCTCCCCTTTCGGAGAGGGGCTTACCACTGCTCCCTATGAATATACACCCCCTCCCCCACCCGACTGGCGACCAACCCGGAACCATGCCAACCCCATGAGGGCCGCCCCCCCACCTTCCCTGCCAAAAGACCATACAAAACGCACTCCACCTCCACATTTGGAGCATGCGCGGCCAACCCAATGCGCCCCACCCCACCATTCCTGTCAAAAAATAAAAAATACGCTTTAGGGCAAAGTCTTGAGCCGTGTTCGTGAGGCCCGCGAGCACTTTGTATTGTTTTTGACAGAGACGCCGGGAGTGTCTGCAGATTCCCTGCTGTGCGCAGGGCTACCATCCCTAACCAAAAACAATACAGAATCCACCTCGCGGCTAAATCTGGATCATGCGCGGACACCCCGCGATCACTGCCACGTGGTTTTTGACAGGGACGGCGGGGCGGTGGCGCATGGCCTGCTGTGCGCAAGCCCACTGGACACAATGGCGGGCATTCGTTTTCGACAAGGATGGTAAGGGCCGACATGCTTCCCGATGTGCCGTCACGTGCGCAGGCGCACCTGAGGCCCTCTGCACGTGCCCCAGACGTGGCGCACCTGGCGCGGCTGGAGTGTGCGGCACACCTGGCACCACCCGCCCAGGGGATCGATCTTCGGGGCCATGCGCAGGCGGTGGACCATGTGAACGCGGTTCGCCCCCCAGGGCCCGAGTAGTCTTCCATCGAAGCGAACACGAACCTCGGGTGACGACATGCCGGCAAGATGCACCCAGCAAGCCTGGAGTCACGCGAGGACCCCCCCACGGGCCCAAACTCATCTATAGGTTCAGCGCCTGCCGAGGCCTTAGAGATCGATCCCCCAGGCGATAACCATAAATAGAATCCCCGCATCGGAGGAGGAGGGAGGGATTGGTGCAGGGAAGAGGGGCGTGAAATGGGGGAGAAGGCAGGGGAGGGAAAAATCAGGGAGGAAAAGGCGGCAAAAACCTCGGGGGGAGCACCCGTGAGCCTCCCAAGTGCCAGCAGGACCTTGCACCAAACGCACGGCCGAATCCTTCGCTTCCTCTACTTCTCGGCCATTCCTCCTCCTCCTTCTCCTCACTCTCCTCCTTTTTTCTCGTTCACCTCCTTCTCCTCCTGCTCCTCCTCATCATCGTCGCTCTTCCTCCTGGCCCACTCGCCCGTCCTCCAGGAAAGAAGAATGGAGCGAATGCGGGGCACGGCTTTCTGCACGGCCTGTTTCCAGGGCGGGAGCTTCTCCTCGTCGTCTACGGCCTGCAGGTTCAGCCACGCGGTCGGCTCTGGGGCGCTGCCAGGCAGCCTTGGGTCATCATTGTCGTCATCATCACCAGCAGCAGCACCAGGAGCCGCAGAAGCAACAGCAGCATCAGCATCAGCATCATCATTGCCGACATCGTCGCCATCATCAGCAGCATCAGAAGCAGCAGAATCACCAGCAGCAGCGGCATCATCATCAGCAGCAGCAGAAGAAGCATCAGCATCATCATAATAATCGTCCTCAGCAGCATCAGCATCAACATCATCATCAACATGATCACCGTCGCAACCAGCACCATGGTCGTCATCATCAGAATCACCGTCACCATCAGCATCACCATCATCAGCATCATCATCGCCATCATCCATCACCATCTGCATCATCATCATCATCCGATCCACCCAGATCCATCACAACAGCGTCATCGCTTGATTCTGCATCATAATCATCATAAGCAGCAGCAGCATCGCGGCCGTCGTCGTCGTCGTGATCATCATAGTAACCATCAGGGTGACCATCATAAGCATCATCACAATCCTCATCAGCATCAACATCATCAACGTCACCAACATCATCATATGCATCATCATTGTCATCTGCACCACCACCGCCATTATCATCATCGTCGTCATCATTATCATCAGCATCACCATCGCCATCGGTGACCATTACCACCATAACCATCACACTCCACCTCAGCACCATTAACGTCGTCACCGTCATCAAACGCATCGCCATCATCACCACCAGCATGATCACCGTCAGCGTCAGAATCGTCGTGCTCATCCTTATCGTCAGCCTCATCACCACAATGATCAATATCACCCCCACCATCGTCGTCGTCATCATCACTACAATCATCTTCAACACCGTCATCACCGTCAGCAGCATCATCGCCATCATCATCACCACCATCACCATGTTCTGCAGTACCGCCATCAGCATCACCACAATGGCCATGATCGTAAACATAAGCGATCGTAGACGAACTCAGTCTCATCGTCGTCATCCTCGTCATCATAGTCGGCATTACCAGAATCATCATCATCATCATCAACAGCATCATCATCATCACCATCATCATCCTCGTCATCTTCATCTTCATCTTCATCAGCATCGTCGTCATCAGCAGCAGCAGCATGACCATCGTCGCCGTCATCAGCAGCAGCTGCACAATCATCGCCACATCATCAGCATCATCAGCATAACCATCAGCATCATCAGCATCATCAGCATCATCATCAGCAGCATCATCAGCATCATCATCAGCGGCATCAGCATCAGCATCATCATCATCCTCATCGTCACCATCATCATCAGCTGCATCGTTGTCAGCAACATCAGTAGCAGCAGCATCACAGTATCACAAGCATAATCACCATCGTTAGCAACATCAGCATCAGCACCCGCATCAGCATCCCCATCAGCATCCTCAGCATCGTCATCCTCATCATCATCAGCAGCAGCATCATCATCATCATAATCATCAGCATCATCACCATCATCATCATCGCAACCCTCACAATCATCAACATGTCCAGCATCTTCATCCTCATCCTCATCCTCATCATCCTCATCCTCATCCTCATCATCAGCATCATATTTCTCATCATCAGCATCAGCATCAGCATCAGAGTCATCATCCCTGATCCTCCTCCCTCCTCCTCGTCCTCCTCCCCCTCCTCGTTTAACCTTCCACCTCCTCCTCCTCCCCATCCCCTTCCTCCTGCTGCTTCTCCTCATTCTTCTGCTAGTCTGCTCACCCTTTAGGGGAACAAAGAGTGGCATAAACATAAAAGCTCGGAGGTCCGCGCGAATTTATCGGGCGCGCGGAGCGCGCCAGGGGCGGCGCCGGAGGCGCCGCCGGGGGGCCCCAGCGCCGATCCGAGAAATCCGCGCGGACCTCAGAGTTTTTATGTTTATGCCACTTTTTGTTCCCCCACCTTCTCCTCCCCCATTCCTCCCCCTCCCCCGCCTCCTGCCTCGTCTCCATCCCCCTTCGGCCGCCTCCTCCCTCGTTCGAGGTGCTCGGCGCGGACACCAGGCATCCGCGAGCCCTGCACGGGGCGGCCGCCACACGCGCGTCGGCTCGCGCGCCCCGAGGTGCGCAGGCGCGGCCGTGCGCTCCCCGCCGACGCGCTCCCCGCCGCCGCCGGGCCGCGCCGCCGGGGGCTGCCCTCGCCTCGAGAGGCGGAGCCAGCCCGGCACAGGCGTGAAGACGGGGGTGTCCCCCTTACAGGGGGACCTTTTTTTTGGGGGGGGGAGAAGAAGGGAGCGGCCGTTTTTTTGGATTGCCTCTGATGTCGTTTAGATAGTCTGCGCGGGAGCTGCATTGGACGTCTGGGACATGTTAGCCCGCAGGAGGGGCAGCGGATTGTGCGGTGACCGCTCCCTCCCCCTACAGGGGGATTTTCGACGAAAAATAAAGACTACTCAAAAAATAGTCCAAAATGGTCAAACAATACTCCAAAAATGGCCCCCCGACTATTCTTTTGATTATTTGTTGAATCTCCGTCCTGTAGAGGGACGGGCCCGACTTAAGTTTAACACTGCAGGGCGTGCCTTCTTCCACTCCGCCAATCCCCATCCCCAATGACGTGGCCTGGGCCCCACTGGCCGATTGGCCCCCTCGAGGAGGGACGGGCCCGACTTGGGCTCGGACCCAGCGCGCAGCTGCGCGGGCCCTGCCGCGCGCGGCGGCGGCGAGGGGCGTGCTGCTCGAGCGCCACAGGCCGGCGGCGGCAGGCGGAGGCGGCGGCGACGTGCCCCCCGCGGGGCGGGGAGGCGGCCGCGGGGCGGCGGAGGCGGCGCGGCGGGCAGAGGCCGAGGCGGGGGCAAAGGGGCAGGCCTGGGTCTGTGGCCTCGAGGCCGGCTCCCGCCTCCGCCTGCCGTGCAGCCCAGCGGAGAGTCGGGCGCGTCCCCCTGCAGAGGGATTTTCGACGAAAAATAAAAAATGTTTAAAAATACTCCAAAATGGACAAACTCAAAAAACAAAAAACTCTGTACATATATATATATATATATGTATATACACAAGCTCAAAAAATACGATTACGCAAAAAAATGCTCCAAAAATAGTCCCCAGACTATTTGTCTACTATTTTTGAATATTCCCCTGGCACGTGGTGGTGCCAAGAGGGCGGCCGCCCCGGGTGCCCAAACGTGCAGCCGTGCGCGCGCACGGCATGCCGCAGGGCCGCAGGGCCGCCCCGGCCACGGGCGGCCGTGGCGCGCGGAGCACGCTCCGGGAGACACTCGCTCGCAGTGACTCGACGCTGCCGTCACGCGGCCAGGTGCTTTTCACGATCTGGGGACGATTGGTCAATCTTTTGGCCACTTTTCAGGGGGCCACAGGCGAGCCCTGCCCCTGCCCCCGACGAATTTTTGAGGGGTGGAGTGGGGTTCTCTTCGATCGAGAGCTCCCGAACGAAGTGAACCCCACCCTCCCCCTCGGAACTCGTGGGGGGTCGGGGTAGGGCTCGCATGTGGTCCCCTGCTTTTGGAACATCTTGGGGGGGTGCGTTGCATCTTTCGCCCAACAGCCCCCTGTAGGAGGGCATGCCCGCCGCAAGGGTACGGGAGGGGGGGGGGGATCCTGGGGGAGACCCCGAGGGTGGTCCCCGGGGGGAAGGCCCGAGGCAGGCCCTGGGCCCGAGTGCCGCCCTCCAGGGCGCATCCCGGGCCCTCTCGCCCTGGACTTCGGGGATCTCCTGACCCGGGTCAATCCAGACCCGGGTCAATCATTGCAGAAGCCTGCAAGATCCTGCGCCCAAACCCAGGCCAATGCGCCCCTGGCCCTGCAGGACCCCGCAAGATCTGGCGCTCTGGCTGACTCCCGTCTGCATTGACCCCCGTCTCAAGGCTCCCGAGGACTCTCCTCTCGACGCGCGGCGGCTGCAGCAGAAGCTCGGGAGCTGGGCGAGGGCTGGCAAATCCGTGGCTGCCACAACGGTCTTCCGGGAAGAAAAGCAAATCTAAAGGGGGCCCAGGGACACACACACACACAATAATTACACATAAATAACAAGATTCCCTATATGTTCCTATATGCCTATATGTTCTGGATTTTCGTATTCCGCCCCATTCCCATATGTTCCTTTTCTTCCTGGGGATCGACGATTAATTGTGTGTGTGTGTGTGCGTGTGTGCGTGTGTGCGTGTGTGCGTGTGTGCGTGTGTGCGTGTGTGCGTGCGTGCGTGCGTGCGTGCGTGCGTGCGTGCGTGCGTGCGTGCGTGCGGGCGGGCGGGCGTGCGGGCGTGCGTGCGTGCGTGCGTGCGTGCGTGCG